GAAATAATCAACAAACAATAAATCAAACCCAAACTTACAAAATTTGCCAGTTTCTGAGGTATAGATGCTCACTCTGCAAATTTAACAATCAGCTCTTGAGATAGTACCAGATGGCTCCAGCATAACCCTGCTCGTAAGACAGGCTGGAGACAGATTTTGAAAGCTTCAAAAACCAGGCTGAAGAATCTGTAGTGGATCCTAAATTCAACGAGGAATTATTTAAGGTTTTGGTGCAAGGAACTGACATATGTACCTTAGAGTGATTATTCTGGAAATTGTGTGAAGTATGAATTGGAAAAGAAACTGGGGATGGGGAGTGCACATCCAGTTAAGAGCCTGTTGTAGTTGTCCAGGCAAAAAATAAAGGTTGAATTAGGGGGGTGGTAGTATGTGTGTGAAGCAGGAAAGGATATCTGGAGGTAGAACTGGCAGGATCTGGCAATTGTTTGGATGTGAGGGTAGGAGGGGAGAGAAGTAAAAAGATGATTAAAAGTTTGAGCCTAGATAACTGGAAGGAGAGAGCTATTATAACCAAAAATAGGACACTTGGGAGGAGAGTGGTTTGGGACATGTAGAATTTGAGGTCCTGGCAGGACATCTATATAGAGGTGTCTACCAGATAGGTGGAAATGCAAAACTAGACTCAAGAGGAGAAATTGCGGCTAGATGTACACACACATATGTATGTTTAACAATATATAAATGTGTGTGTGTATACATATATATACACACACATTTGTGTATATACATATATATACACACACATTTGTGTATATTTGAGTGTCATCTCTATAAAAGTAATAATTAAAGCCTTTGAGATGGATAAAATTACAACGTGAGTATATAAATAGAGAGAAACAGGCCTGAGAACAGCCTTGTAGAACACCTACACTTAGTATGAAGGGGACTGAAAGGAAGAAGAGATAGAGGAAGGACACTGAGAAAGCAAACAAGGAAAGCCAAGGGAGAAGAGCATTAAGAAGCATCTAGACAGCAGCATCTAATACTGCAGAAATAATAAAGATAGCAATAATATTTGGCATTTACATAATACTCTAAGATTTGCTAAGCATTTCACAAAAATTATCTCATTTTATCCTTTCCCAATAACCTTGTGAGGTAGGTGCTATTGTTATCCCTGTTTTACAGATGAGGAAACTAAAGCAGACAGAGATTAAGGGACTTGCCCAGTGTAACACAGCTAGGAAGTGTCTGAGGCTGCATTTGAGCTCACGTCTTTATATAGCACCATCAAGGGTTGAAAAGTGCTTTGTATATACCATCTCATCCGGGTTTCACAACTACCCCATACTACATGTATCCTTGCTCCCATTTTAGAGATGAGGAAATTGGGGCTCAAAGACATGAAGGTGTTTGCTTGTCCATGACCACATTGCTGCTAAATGTCAGAAGCTGAATTTGAATCTGAGTCTCCCCGAATCCAAGACTCACTCTATCCTTTCCACCATAATGCCTCTCAAATATTACTTCAAATGTTAAAATAATAATAACAATCCAAGGACATTTAAAAGAGCCATGAAAGAAAAAGGAAAAAACAACTTAGGAGAAGGCTATTTATTTCTTTAACTTGATAAATCAATTTCACAAGAGAGAAGCCATACCTAATTATTAAGTGCCCATGTGCCAGGTACTGCTCTAGGCATTGGGGATAGTCATATAAGCCTTTAGCCCTTTACTGTATCTGCATTAAAAAGTGGCAAATGACAAATAAGTCATTAGAGGTTGATTGTAAAAGACAGATGAATCAATCAATGAGCCTTCTTGCTGCTGGACTGCCAAATAACAGGTAAAAATTATCTTTTCTAGGTACAAGTCTGTTCATAGCTTAAAAAGAAACCTAAAAGAAACTTTTTAAATGACATTTGAAAATCCATTAGATTTTTCATACCAAAATCATACCTCTAGTACTTTCTGGGACACTAAAGCACACTAAGATGATATGATGTTGATCATATATACTATATGTTTTCTTTAATAGATAAGAATTTTTTTTAATTTAAAATTATTTTTAATATATATGGATTTATTCTCTCTCTCCCACTTCCTAGTGGAAGGGGGGGAAAAACCTTATAAGACATTTGTGTAGTCAAGCACAACATATTCCCACACTTGCAATATAAAAATGTACATCTCGTTCTATGTCAGGAGTCCATCACTCTTCCCCTTAGGAGGTGGAAAGCATTCTTGACCACTGCATATTTGGAATCATGGTTGGTCACTGCACTGATCAGAGTTCTTAGGTCTTTCAAAATAGATTGTCTTCACAATGTTACCGCACAAATTGTTCTTCTGCTTCTGATTATTTCACTTGATTCAGCATCAGTTCATAAAAGACTTCAAGGCTTTGCTGAAATCATGCTTTGGACTACACAATAATATTTCATACATTCATACACCATAATTTTTTCAGCCATTCTAAGAACAGAACTTAACAAAAATGGTAGAAATCAGAGCTAATAATAATTTATTAGTTTTTGTTTGTTTGTCTTTTCCTCACTCATCTATATCACTTCTCTACGGCTACAAACTGAACAAATTGACAATTAAGGCAACAGCAAGGAACTTGCTCATCCTGATCTCATAAATCAGTGCAGGTTAACCTCAAAGAGGAACAGGCTAAACCAAATCTAATCTAATGTCAACTCAAGAAATACAGAGTACACTTGTTATATTAACAAAAAAAGGAAACACATGCAAAAGGCAGTTATATCCTCACTACCACCACTGAAAGCTCAAACCGGGGGTGGTATCAGAGAGGTGTTGTTATTAATTTTTTTATCTTAAAATAGTTTTTTTCAGAGTGGGTGAGTTTGAAGCATGGGATAAATATAGAATCTTCAGTGAAATGGAGATATTTCTGGGGTTTTTTTTATTACTCTATGAAAAGATCAAGTTTTGATTGACCAGAGTGACTGTCAATTAATGATGAGATGATGGAATGAGGAATAAGAGTGTAAAGGGTGAGGGAATGGAAGAAGGAATTAAAAATAAAAAAAAATAGATCTTTTTAAAAAGTATAGTATACTCAAATCAGCAGATTTAATGACCATGTTTCAAAGGTATTTAAGGGACTGGTAGATGCTAGCTAGAGTACAGCTATTAAAATTGTATGAAAAGGAAGGATAAATCACTTTTTTAAAAAAATGGATAAGCATTCCTCTTAAAAGGTAATCCTAGTTGTTTCATAGATTGGTCGACTCACTTTGAGACCTTAGAAGACACAACAATACATGTTCAGTAACAAGGAGTGAAAAATCAACTTGCTGTTCTTAAAGTGCTATGTGGCATATGTTTTGGGTTTGTTGGGTTTTTTTTAGAATTCGACTGAGCTATAACAGATTTTATTTTGAGGGATTTTTTTTTTGCAGGGGGGAGGGGAAAAGTGTCAGAATTCCATGACATCTTAAGACAGGGACTCAACTTTTTTTTGTGTCACAGAATGGCACCTATAGACTCCTCAGAATTTTTAAAAAATGAATAAAATACATGGAATTATATAGGAATACAATTATATTGAAATACAGTTGCCAAATGTTTTTTTTAAAAACTCCACAGAGTGTTTGCCTTAAAGTAACTGGAGAAGTCTAATGGAATCAAAGAGATAATCATGCCAGAACTCTACAGAGGGCCGGAGTAGAAAGGTCAGGGTTGAACTACTAGAACTAACACTTACTGCCTATGCAATCTGAGTATAATACAACCTCTCTGGACCTCAGTTTTCCAATAAGTAGATACCAGAAATTGAATTCTATGGCCTCAGAATTCCCTTCCGACTCTGATGATTCTACGATCTCATGACTTGAGAAGGCATATCAACTGCTCTGTTCCAACAATCTATTTTAAGAAGAGGTTGTTGTTGTTAAAACCCAATAACATGGATAAAGGCACTGACAGCATGTTCATCAAGTCTGGAGAAGACCTAAAATGGGCAGGGTATTATAGGAAACAAGAGGTAATTCCTTAAGGCAAAAGCATGATAATATCCATAAGAATGACAAAAAAACAGAGATGAGAAGACACAAGTGCTATAGAAAAAAGGATCTGCAATTTGTAGTGAGCCTCAAGCCACAAGAAAGGGCTATATTTATGAAATTTAAAATGCTCAAAGGATAACTAAGAAGTATAAAACTTTTAAGACTGAGGAATAACCCCATTCCATTTAGCCGATGGTATTAATGAATGATTAATTAATTAATCACACATTGTGTAATGCATGGCTAGGTTAGTGTAATAGTCTTGGTTTACTAATTTAACACAAATATAAATATTTTACCTAAAAAATTTCCTAAATTTTCCTAAAATTAAAAAATGTATCACGATACCATCATCTATAGAAGAAAAGCCTCTTCACCTTCAGGCATTATCTATAGTAGATGTTTAACATGTCTGTGTTTGGTTTTGGGGGTAGGTTGGGGATGGGAAAGGAAGCCAAAGACCTCCTATGATTTCATCAGTATGGGGAATTCCAAGTATAGAAAAGAAACTTCCTTCCCCTCCCACCTATGACAAATCATCTGTAACTCACAGCCTTCCCAAACTCCCTGGAACACAGAGCTCAGGTTGTTTGTCCAAGGTCACACATCTAGTATGTGTCAGAGACATCACTCAAAGCTAGGTTTTTCTGACTCCAAGGCAAGCTCTCTTGGCCACCATGTTAGACCACACCAAATGAATAAATTACCTAACAGAATTAAAACTATGTTAGCTTTGTGATCATAATTAAATTTTTCCACACTTCAAATTATCTTTTCCTTTATTTGTTCCTTAATATCTAATTTTTCCTTTTCTAATGCTTATCAATTACACTTTCTTATTTTCTGGGTCATAAAAGTGATGGTGTCCCCATCAAAGCAACTGATTTTAAACAGTAGTGTAGATGCTGCCTGTCATACTTCAGCCACTCAGGAGCAGTTCTTTTAGACGGAAACCAAAGAAATGTGAATTAACAGTTTATATCTACCAAAAACAAAGTACAAGAACATCATTTATCCTGTTTATTAATGTACATAAAAAAACTTTTCTGTAGAAATTTCTGAGCCAAGCAATTGTCTAGTTGCATAGCAAATTTCTTTCATAGGCAAAACTATGGCTTATACTTTAATTTAAAAGTCCTGGAGCTGAGAATCTGGTAAAAGACTGTCTTAGAATGTCTCTCCATTTCAACCAAAACACTGAACATAATTCCATGATCTCTGTCGTTTGTCTTAAAACAGTCTGATCATGTAGGTTAGGCTGTTACTCTGTTTTGAACTGTATTTTCAGCATTTTATTTTTATACACTGATGTTATTCTCCATTCAGACAGCGACAACAGGCTAAAGTTCATTCAGTTTCAACCATGTTTGTCCATTCTTGTAATTCTGTAGCATCAGCTGTATTCCATAGTTTCGCAAAAGATTTCAGCCTTTTTCTAGGAAGGGGGGAAAAAAATCACAAAATATATCATTTTGGATCTTGAAAAGGATGCTGGTGAAAATACAGAATGGTATGAAAACAAATGTTGCTGAGAACAGTATGCCGGCCAGAGAGGCAAAATATCAAATATTTGTTTTATGTCACAATTTACCAGATGTAGGCAACAAGGCTAACTTTTCAACTCCAGGCTCATCCCTCATCAAAGCAATTTTATAGATTTCAAAACTTTTATATCCCAAGTGGAAGAGCTAAAATTTTTATAAGTAATCTATAGACTTTATTACTTGTAAGTTATAAGCTCTAAATAATAGCATGTGGAAGCTGTTGTCTTCTCTGTAACTGGTTTTGTTATCTTCTACCGAGATTTCATTGTTGTAGTTCCTTCGCAGGGGGAAACTCAATAAAGCACACAAGAGACTTAGAATTTATCTTTGAACTTTGCAATACACTTGATTCTAAAATAATCTTACAGAACCAAGACTTACAATTAGTTCCTATAAATTTCTCCCTGGAAAATATTACGTCAAGATTACTTGTGATTGTTGGGAAGAGGCCTCTATTATTATTCGGCTGTGCTGTCCTTTGATTTAGTATTTCAGGTAGAGAGAGGAAGCCAACTTACAGTTCCATGGTAAGTGAACTGTGAATAACAGCAATCTTGGTCGAGGTACAATGTTTTCTAGGGTGAGGCAAAGGTCACTTTACTGTTAATTACAAGGTGATGATACCAAGATGGAATGAAGAGTCAGTGCTGACCTTGGAACAGCAGGACCGGATTAAGAGTTGTGCACTGGTTCATAGACAGAGAGTGAAGGGACTTTGGGGTCATCCAATTATTCTATAGATGAGGAAACACGTGGCAGAGAGTTGGAATAACTTGACCAAGATCATACAAGTAGCAACTGGCAGAGCTCAGATTAGAATCCAGATCCACTAACTCCAAGTACGATGTCCATGGGATGTACGTAAGGAGTAAAACTATTTTTGTCTAAACTTGTTTACAACAGTACTCTGAATTGCTGCTATGCTTGTATAAAGGTTAAAAGAACCTTATTTTAACTCTAGAAGACTACTTAAATAAATAAGGAATTAATTTACAAAATGGGTAATACACTCAGGGATAATTCAGCTTAGATTAATTATGTACTTATTTTGACAAATTTCCTCTTATAATCTTAATTTTTTAAAATAGTTAAAACAAAAGTTATAGATTTGAAATGATTTCTACCTTCAATAATTTCTTAAATACTTCCATTTATATATTTTAAGTGATTCATTTCAATCTTTATAGGACTGACTGAAAAAACAAACTAATTTTAAAGAGGTGGCTAACGGGGGCAAGATGATTCCATGTGAGCTTGTTTAATGGCTATTTTTAATTTTATCTTAATGATGTGTTTCAGGGTATCTGGGGAAGTACTCAAAGCTACACTAGATGCTCATTTATTGGACAGTCCCTTTTCCCTTGTTCCGATTTGATGGTTTCATTGCAAAGTCAAAAGTAGAGTGGGATAATTCTGACCTTTTCACATTGACTAATCTCTCAAGTTCCTTTGATTTGTAAGCTGCTTTCTTTAAGATTTCTCCAGGGACATCTGCTAGTTTGGCTACATTCAGTCCATAGCTCCTTGAAGCAACTCCTCTGGTTATTTGATAAAGAAAAGTAACAAAATCAGGGATTTCCTCATCTTCCTGACCTATAGCAGAAAAGGGGGAAAAATAGATTGGGGGGGAAAAACATATTAGAAAACTGAAAGAAATCAAAGGATCAGAGATATTTAAAAATGCTATAATTTTTTAAACATTTATTAAAATTTACAACCTAAAAAATCATATTTGTTCATAATATGTCATATACCATTTTACCTTTTTCCCCACAACTCTGTAAAATGGATAAATATCGCTGTGATAAAATATTTTTGTGTTGAGGACATCTTGAGTCACAAAATCAGTCAGAAGGAACTCTGGAAAGCAAATCTAGCTTTACTGCTTAATTTTCCAGATGAAGAAACTGAATTGTAGCTATATAGAATGTGTTTGCACCAGATTTATAACAATTCAAGGTAGAAAAAAAGACTCTTCACCTTTGGGCAATTTGCTGTAAATACACTGGAGCTGGTATAGAGCCAATCTTGAGAGACAATGGTTGTAAGCATACTAGAATCATCTCTCTTTCTCATTTTTTTAAGACCACCTGTACAATTTCAATATACAGGAATTAGGCATTCTGGTTAATGAAAAATTCTGGTTAACTGAGAGTTATGTATTAATCATATATTATTATCTTTCAAAGAATTACAATATTATAAAATCAACAAGGTTAAAAAACCACGATGAAGATAATTTAATCTTTTTTTTGATTAATCAGGAAGCACATTAGGATCCTATCCTGCTACAGGTCTCATTATGAATATAAATGCACTATACAATGTGATCAAAAGAGGGAAAAATTCTAAGCTATTTGAACATTCGAGTTGTTTGCATTCTGGATAAACAGAAAGTTTGCTCTGCTAAACTACCCAGCAATGAATTTCAAATTGAAGTCATCATAATTCAAATGTGACTTTTAATCTCCAAAAGGAGGAGCTTTCATTAACCATTTTTACTTGGTTTTAAAATAACTCTTTAAAACTTAAAAATGTTATTATTAACCTGTCCACTTACTATTTTCCTGCACAGAATCCTGTTAACAACCTACTTTAACAAGAATACCAGAGCTTTGCAGGCCTTCAGGTCTTTTGCTGGCACTATCTTACAACAAATTCATTTTGATCCTTCACTAACTATATCCTTGTAGATCAGACCCAACACAAAAAAAACCCCACAAATATGAGAATCCAGCATGTTTTGCCCTTTTTAACAGGTGAAAACCAAAACAGTCCAAAGCTTGAACAGAATCTAGCTTGACAGAGAAAAATACAATGCAATTTTCCATCATCTTTTTCTCTCACTATTTAGTAAGAGGCAAATAATACCTTTCTAATGGTGGCTGCCAGGAGTGGGAGGTGAAAAGAATGCTGACTCTGAGGAATACAGAAACTCAAGCTCTCCATTACAAAGAGCTAAGAATATTTTTCTTAATTAAAAAAAAAAAATCAAGACAACAAAGAACAGGTGGGAGCAGACTGAAGCCTAAGTATAGAGAAACCCTTGCCAACTAACCATTGCCGTCTTTTCCCCAATCTTAGAAATATTTACATCACTGGGAAGAGAGTGAGGGACAATTTAAAAAAAAAAAGGCTTCACTCAAGAGTGAGATGGATTCTACACAGGGCCTTCTATAGCAAACAGGAAAAAGTTCAACGAGTTAATCAGATAGGCACAATGAAGTCAGAATCTGCAAGAATTCCTTTTATTCTCGAAGACCTGGACATCTGAAAGAGGTTTGAAAATAACAGATGTTAACAAATACATAAGCACCTACTATGTGCCAGGCACTGTGCTAAGGTCTGGAGATACGAGTCTAAGAGACTAACTACTTACTTGTACTGCCAGCCCTTACAGGCTTTATAAGCAGGTGTTTACTAGATACTTGCTGACTTGCATAAAGGGCCAAAGTTGTTATAATTACAGTCAATCCTCAACATCTGGGCATTTAACTTTCATTCTGGCAACCACACATATGCCCAGCTATGCTCAGTAAAGAAAAAAATGAGAGGCACAATGAGCACAAGTTTATATGCACAAAAAACCAGGAAAGTATTTGTAAAAGTGCTCATGAATCTGTTCCAGAGAGTGCTAAAGTAACCTCTCAAATGATGGCTTGGCAGGGCTGGGCAGGGCCCTTTGGACAGAGCCTGACAGGAACAGAGCCTCACACTAAGGCATGTGCTTTTCAATGAAGCAGAGTTCAACTGCAGAAAGGGAGATTAGAGATGGCAGATTCCCCCTTCCCTTTTTTATTTTGGGGGTCTTCTGACACCACTGTCCCTGTCCCTTCCCACCCTGTCCATATTGCCTCTCCTCTCCCCTGGATTTTATGGGTTATTTCATGGTTATTGTGTAAGGAAAAGGGAATATTATCAGAATTAATGTTTTGTTATAAAGAACTGTATGCAGAAAAGTGTATTTCAGCAGTCTCTAGCTAAAGATGACAGTTTTTGGTGGTCACAAGAACTTAACACCCTATTTTCCACAGGTTCAATGTATCAACATTCCTGTTTTTGACCTTTAGACCATTTTCTAGGAATGTTACCCCTTCAAAAATTAAGTATTTAATTCTTGCACGAAATCTGTTATAGTTGAGTTGTATTTTTCATTTGTTGTCCTCACTATCCCAGGATAACTGATATGGGAAAAGACCACTAAAAGTTAATTCATTTACCAACATTTTACAGTAAGTGAAAGGAAAAAAGGTTTTGTTATTTTGAAAAATGAAACTAAAATTATTAAAATAAGTTTACCTTATTTAATAAGATGTAGGTAATGACTGCAACCATTTGCTAATTTTTAGAGTAAAGAATGAATTCTGTTGATTTGGGTGTGAGGGGAGCATAATTTTTCCCACAAAACTGTATAATAGCATAATGTGATATATTCATCATATTTGACTTATACAGCATGCTCATAAAGGGGGTCTTTGTTATAAAAATATTTGAGAGTTTCATCAATTTTCCCAAAGTCCTCTATTTATCCTTTGATATTCAAATTATCCTCTTCTGAAGTTCCTCCTGGCAATCAGCAAATCCAGTAAATAATAAAACATGAGGGTTGAGTATGAACTCATTTTATAAGTGGTCAATTCGTGAGTGAATGTTTTTGTGCCATGATGACTTTTGCTTCTCAGGTTGGAGCCTGGCTAGGAGACAGAGAGCCAGCCTTGAAGTCAAGACCTGGGCAAGGTTCAAACCCCACCTTCAACATACTGGCTGTTTGACCCTCAACAAGTCATTTAACTTCTGAGGGCCCTAGACAACTCATTAAGACTTTAAATTATAGATCTGTGTTGTTAGATGGAGTTTTTTCAAGGGAAATTCCTATAAGGAAGAAATTACAGGTCTTCAGAACACAACAAAAATAGACTTGGAGCATAATTTTATTATTTTGAATGCTGATAGAACTCTTTCACTTTTATCTCTGATTTTATGACATACTGCTGGTCATATTCTTCATTTATTTGATTTGTTGTCATGTCCAACTCTTCGTGACTCCATTATGGAGTTTTCTTGGCAAAGATATTGCAGTGGTTTGCCATTTCCTTCTCCAGCTCCTTTTTACAGAGGAGGATACTGAGGCAAACAGGGTTAAGTGACTTGCCCAGGGTCACACAGTTAGGAAGTGTTTGAAGCCAGATTTGAACTCAGGAAGATGAGACTTCCTGACTCTAGGCCCAGCACTCTATCTACTGCATCCCCTAGCTGTCCGAATTTATTTGACACTAAGCCCTTAGTCAGGAACAGTTTTGCAGCCTTCTAGTTATAACATTTTCCTATTTTGCCTTATTATATTAAATAGGGTATATGCCTAAATAGTACATGCCTATATTATATAGGAGCCTAATTCAGTGCCAAATTGTCACAATCAACTTGTCTCATCATTTATATGGTACTTTAAGGTTTGCAAAGTGTTTTATCTGAATTGTCTCATTTGAAGCTCACAACAACTTTGTGAGGTAGGTGATATATTACCTCTATTTTATTTTATTTTATTGAGTTTGAGAGTGGTTAAGTGACTTGCTCAAGGTTATACAGCCAAAGTGTCTAAGGCAGAATCCAAACTAAGGTCTTCCTGACTCCACTCCATGTCCAACACTCTAATGCTACTGAGCTTCCTAGCTGTCTGCTAGCATTTATTCCTATTACATAAGCCATTCTGTTTTAGCCTTCTGAGTGTTATTAATGTGTAAACAAGTCAAAGTCCTTTGAGAAGCAGACAAAGAATAATACTTAAACAATGCTTGTTCCTATGAAAAGATGTAACTATTGCTACTGTGACATTTTCCAGTAATGTGTTGTGGTAAAAAGCAGGGGCTGCCTTTAAATTTCTTTTTTTCTTTCTTTTTGGAGGCAATTGGGGGATAAGTGACTTACCTAAGGTCACACAGCTAGTAAGTGTCTGAGGACAGATTTGAACTCATATCCTCCTGACTTCAGGCCTCGTGCTCTATCCACTGTTCTACCTGCCTTTAAATTTCTTGCAGGTCCATTTCTTTATTTGATTTAGTACCACTTCCTGATTTTTTTTTTTAGTTCTATCAATATTATTTCTATTTCTATGCCTTCCTCATGAACTTTGCAGTGTCCTAGGAGAGGAGCAATTTCTCAATTTAATACATCAACTATTCACAGAAGCACTGTACCTCACCTGAAGACTTAAAGAAATTATTATATGGTTAAGTTAAAATGTAAATGGACTGTAAATATTATAAAACATTATGCTATGTTTATATAATGTACATGTGTGCCAAAATATATAATATTATGACACGCCTAAACAGAAGTCCTATTTCAAGGCTTCTTTGAGGAATGGAGATGACTTTAGGTTCTCCAATACTGTGCCTAGAGAGCTGGTAGATCTTATCAAGATAGTAAAGCTTTGAATATGAGCCCTGTAATAATGTCATTTGAAGACCAGTCTAACTAAATTTGGAGAAACTTATTATTTCAAGGCTGATGTTTCAGGCTTTTTTTTTTTGGTGTGGTGAGGGAGGAAAAGGTGGTCATAGAAACTCATTAAATTATATATTAATGCATGAAAGGGTTGTGATGTGTCAGAGACATCTTACCTTCATAGTTAAAATTATGGAAGGAAGTTTTATTTGTAGTTATTAGTACTGTATTTCTATGGGCTACTGAGGCTCATTTTTATGAAATGGATTATCTCTGTAAAGGTAGTAATTAAGGTAAACTCAGGAAAAAAGTTTTTCAACTGATCAAATTTCATAAGAAAAGTCTCATCCCAGGTTTCAAGGATGAATAACAATATAGTATACTCTAGTGGTAGAATAACTTCCACAAGTACATCTCTATAAAATTCTGTTCAGGGATGCATCTTTGGGTCTTAGGTACTTACGTCACTCTCTACTCATGGATGAAGATGAGACAGGGAAACTTGGAGGAAACACATATGGACACAAATCCATTTGGGTTTCCAAGGCAAGAAAAAACATTTAGAAATGCTGTGTGTGTGTGTGTGTGTGTGTGTGTGTGTGTGTGCGCGTGCGCGCACGCGTATGTGTAAAGCTATTCCTTGGAATTATATCAGTTGTCTGCTTCATTTGCAATGGGGCTGATTTCTTTTTGTTTATCTTGTTAAATGCATGGGAGCATCTGCGTTTATGTATATTATGTTCCAGATGGACTGTAGTAATAAAATATTAATGCTTCAAGTTATCCAAGCACATAAATGAAGTTATTTTCAAAGAACTTAATAATGTTCTATATAATTAATTCAATAATACATTTCATTTCTAACCACAAAAAGATAGACTCTAAATGCTGTCAATAAATTCAGTGCCCCTTTCTCCTACTTGGAACATTTGCTGGAAATGAGCCTTAATATGAAGTAGTATCAGCTAAGGTATCCTATTTTCTATTTTTTCTAATTTTCTCCTTTACGATTTTTGTTTTTAACTTTCAGGTCCCCTGCCTCTGCCCATTTTGAAAATAGCCAAGAAGTACATAAGGCTATGTAAACATAGGACAAAGTAATAATTCAGATATCCATGATTTTGTTGTTACAGGTACTGCCTCCATTAACAGATCTCAACCTTCTTACAACCTAGTAGATGACCTTTCAGAGTTGTGGTTGCTGAAAAACTCATCACCTGGTAGACAGCCAGGCAATGATATTCTCCAAATTTAACTAAGCTGGTCCTTGAAAGAAAGAAATTCAGTCGATCACTGCTACTGTACACAAAGCAGTGGTGGAAACCAACAAAACTTGTGTTTGGTTGGGATTGCATTTAAGCACCCAATGTCTTCTAAATACCCAAATTAGGCATCACAATAGGACTTTGTTGTTGTTGTTCAGTTGCATCCAACTCTTTGTGACCCCATTTGGGGTTTTCTTGGCAAAGATATTGGAGTAGTTCATTATTTCCTTTTCCACTTCATTTTACAGATGAGGAAACTGAAGAAAATAGGGTTAAGTCATGTGCCCAGGGTTACACAGCTGATAAGTGTCTGAGGCTGGATTTGAGCTCAAGTCTTCCTGATTCCAGACCCAGTGCTCTATCCACTGTATCACCTACTTGCTCTACAACAAAAAGTTAGGGGAGGCCAATATTTCCACATAATAATAAAGAATTAATATTAATAAACAATAAAGCCCATATTCCTATACAAGTTCCAATCAAACTGAAACTTAAGTTGGGACCTGCTAATCTTCTGCAGGGAATGTTTCATACCTGTGTTCTGTGTACTTTCATCTTCATTAACAAGGAATCCCATGTGGTAGTTCCCTACCCATTGTGGATATGTTTTTTCTAGTTCACACACAGGAGGATAATGTGTGACAAACAGGGTCAATGACTCCACCTAAAATAATATAATAAATAACGTTTAAAAACACATTTTCAATTTTGTAAACTTATTTTGAAATCCTTTTTTGCAAGAAGTAAACATAGGACTGGAAATAATGAAACTCAATCAAGGACTGACAGCTAATAGAATACCATTTACATTATGAAATGAAATTAGAACATGCAAACTATGAAATTAAGGGCTTCTTGAAAATGGACAGTGTCAATCATGTAGATGTTAGACACTATTATGCTCCTCTTTCATTAGTATCTCTAGCAAGAAGGCATAGTGTACCTTCTCACGCTATGATGCCTTCCACTTGGATTTGCACAATGTCTTCATGAAAGGTTGGGGGAGATTGGGGTGTGTGTGTGTGTGTGTGTGTGTGTGTGTGTGTGTGTGTACGTGTGTGTGTATACACACAGAAATGTATAAATATGTGTCTACATATACACAGACACATATATGAGATCTATAAATCTATAGCCTTTGTTAAATTTAATTTTTTTAAAAGATCTGGTTAAGTTAGTAATCCTGAAAAATCAAATTTAGAAGTACTATATTTAATTCAGTATCAGGTTATATTATTTAAATTATTGGTTCATACTAGTTCTGATAATATTAGTTCAGACTTGTTTATTTTGTATCATGTTAAAATTATGGAAGCCATGGTAAGTGGGCCATGACAGACCTGGCCTCCGTCACAATTAGAATAACGTTCTTGATCTTCACTTTAAACCGATGGAGAAGACTCATTAGAAATAAAATTAAAATGACTAACTAATAGATGTGAAGGCAGGTAAATTTCATTTACAAAAACACATGAGCAAAAAACCAAAACAAAACACACGAGCCAAATGGTTTAAATCATTTTTCTTGCAGAACACTCCTCCTGTGTTAGCTCTTGTGGCTACCTCCTTCATTAAGACTGGGGATTCTTTTTTTTGTTTGTTTGTTTGGGTTTTTTTGCATTCACATATAAAAACAATTTTTAAATACTTTTTTTGAAAGTTTGAATTGCAAATTCTCTCCTTCCCTCTTTCCTTTCCCCTCTCCTTGAGAAGGCAAGCAATTTGATGTGGGTTATACATGTGCAGTCATGCAAAACATATTTTCATATTGATTATGTTATGAAAGAAAACACAGACAAAAAAAAAGAAAAGAAAAAACACAAAACAAAAAGCCCCAAACCCAAGAAAAATAAAGTTTTTTAAAAAAAGCATACTTTGATCTGCATTTAGACTCCATCAGTTCTTTTGTTGAAGATGGATAGCCTTTTTCATCATAAGTTCTTTGGAATATTGTGGATCATTCCGTTACTGAGAATAACTAAGTCAATCAACAGTGATTTAGAGCACTTTTTTCATGACTATAGATAGCTTTGCTTTCTTCTTCTGAAAACTGTCTATTCTTATCCTTTGACCATTTATCAATTGAAGAACAACTTGTGTTCTTACACATCTGACTCAGTTCTCTATATATGAGGCCTTTATCAGAGAAACTTGATAAATTTTTTTTTACAGTTATGATTACTGTGTATTTCCCCCCATCTTAACTTTTCACCTGTTAAACCTTCTCTCCCCATTCACTCTGTTTCTCCTCAAAAGTGTTTTGCTTCTGACCACCACATCCCCTAATCTGTTCTTCCTTCTCTTATTCCCTTCCCCTCCTACTTCCCTATAGGGTAAGATAGATTTCTATACCCAACTGAGTGTGTATGTTATTCCCTCTTTAAGCCAATTCAGATAAGAGTGAGGTTCAAGCATTCCCCTTCACTGTAAAAGCTCTTTCAAGCCTCTATTATGTGTGATAATTTACCCCACTCTTCCTTTCCCTACCTCCTTCTCCCATTGTATCTCTCTTTTTCACTCCTTAATTTTTGTAGATATCATAGTCAAGTCATACCCATGCCCTCTGTATATGTACAATCCTTCTAACTGCCCTAATAATGATAGAGTTCTTAGGTGCTACAAGTATCATCTTTTCATGGAAGAATGTAACCAGTTTAACCTTACTGAATTGCACATGATTTCTCTTTCCTGTTTACTTTTTTGTACTTCTCTTTCGTCTTGTATTTGAAAGTCAAATTTTCTAAATGAATTAAAGTCCCCTATTTCATTGAATTCTTTCCCCTGAAGGATTATACTCAGTTTTAGGTGATTCTTGATTGTAATCCTAGCTCCTTTGGCTTCTGGAATATCATATTCTAAGCCCTACACTCCTTTTTTGTGGAAGTTGCTAAATCTTATGTTATCCTGACTGTGGCTCCACAATATTTGAATAGTTTCTTACTGGCTGCTTGCAGTATTTTCTCCTTGGCCTGGGAGCTCTGGAATTTGGCTATAATATTTCTACGAATTTTCACCCTAGGATCTCTTTTAGGAGGTGATCTGTGGATTCTTTCAATTACTATTTTACCCTCTGGTTCTAGGATATCAGGACAGTTTTCCTCGATAATTTCTTGAAAGATGATATTTAGGCTCTTTTGTTGATCATGGCTTTCAGGTAGTCCAATCAGTCGTAATTTATCTTTCCTGGATCTATTTTCCATGTCAGTTGTTTTTCCAATGAAGGAGCTCACACTTTCTTTTGCTTTTTTTTCATTCTTTTGATTTTGTTTTCTCATTTCTTATTGTTTCATATAAAGTTATTAGCTTCCACTTGCTCAATTCTAATTTTTAAGAAATTATTTTCTTCAGTGAGCTTTTGTATATCCTTTTCCATTTGTCCAGTTCTACTTTTTAAGGAGTTCTTTTCTTCAATTCATTTTTATGCCTCTTTTTCCATTTGGCCAATTCTGTTTTATATGAAGTCCTTTTCTTCAGTAGATTTTTGGGCCCTTTTACCATTTGGCCTAATCTGTTTTTTAAGGTATTATTTTCTTCAGTATTTTTTTGTGCCTCCTTTACCAGGCTACTGACTCTTTTTTTTCATGGTTTTCTTGCATTGCTCTAATTTCTTTCCCCAATTTTTCCTCTACCTCTCTTATTTGCTTTTTAAAATCTTTTTTGAGCTCTTCCAGGAATTCTTTTTTTGGGTCTGAGACCAATTCACATTTTTCTTTGAGGCTTTGGATATAGCAGTTTTGACTCTGTTGTTTCTGAATTTGTGTTTTGATCTTCCCTGTCACAACAGTTACTTTCTATAGTCAGGTTTTTACTGTTGTTTACTCATTTTTCCAGCTAATTTCTTGACTTTTAACTTTATGTTAAATTTGGGCTGTGCTCCCTGGGGAGAGGGAGTACTGTCCCAAGCTTCTGATTTTTCATGCTGTTGTTTTCAGAGCTAGTTCTGGGAGTCTGTAAAGTTTTTAATTTTTCCAAGGTGGTACAATCTAAGGAGAGGTTGCCACTGCTCTCCTGCCCTGTGCTTTAGTCTGTGAGTGACTACAGCCACTCTTTTTCCATCCTGGAACTGTGACCAGGGTTCCTGTTCCTGCTAGTGCTCCCGCTTGCCCTGGGACCAAGACCTGGAATAGAGTATGGGCAATGCAACAGGGTCCTGAGCCCAGTGCCAGCAAAGTAACCCTATAAATCCCCTTCTGACCAATTGTCCAATCTCCTTGTGGGCTGAGAGCCCCAGAAGTTGTCACTGCCAATCCGGTCCCCTCCAAGGCCTTCCTGTTGGCTTGCTGTGGCACGGCTTGCAGTGGACTGTGCTGCATTCTCACCCCAGTGAGACAGACCTTTCTTGCCAACTTTCTAAGTTGTCTTGTGCTAGAAAATTGTTCCACTTTGTCCTTTTGTTGGTTCTGTTACTCCAGAATTCTTTTTGATGTGTTATTTTAAAGTTGTTTGGAGGCGAATTTGGAAGAGCTCAGGTGAGTCCCTACTTTTATTCCACTATTTTGGATCCACCCCAGCTAGAACAGGGATTCTTAACCTTTTTAAGTGTCAAGGACCTCTGTAAGAGGCTAAAGAAACCTGTGGATCCCTTCTCAGAACAGTGTTTTTAAATGTATAAGATAAGATACATAAGACAACAAAGAAAACCATCATACTGAAATGCAGTTACCAAAATATTTTTAAAAACAAGAGCATGGACCCCAAGTTAAAAAACCCTGATTTAGAGCAAAAGCCATTGTGTCACAGTTAAAAAAAAACATAAAAAAGCAAATTAATTAAGGTCTTGTTAAGTTATATAAGTAAAGAAATATCAACTTCAATCTATATCATGATTATTTGAGGGGTAAGGAAAAGTGAGGCAGAGGAGAAGAAAAAGATATGAAGGAAGGAATGATAAAGAGACATAAAGGAACAAAAAGAAGGAAAAGCAGGTGGAACTAGGGGAACTGAAGGGCTGGACACTGAAAGAAATGAACACAGATTCAATCATAGAAAAAAAACATAGAAAAAAGCATTAAAGTATATATAACAGGAGACTTCCATGAATTATATTCACATTCTTATGCTTAATTTCATTGCCTTCTGTTTCCACTGCAATCTCTTCCTCTCTATTCACCTCTACCCTGGTTCCTCCTATAAACATGTTCTTCTTCAAACCAAAATCTGCTTCTTTGCAACTTCTAACCATCACTCCTAGCTCTGTGGTCAAGTAGAACAACTTTAGTCCTCTCCATGACAACCTTACAAATACTGTAAGACAGCTATTGTTCTCCTTCCATCTTCCCACCTCAAGTTTTCTCTCCTCCATTTCCTTCAACTGATCTATGTAGGCAGCATGATCTCAAAATCCTTCACCATTGTGGCCATCCTCCTTCGAAAACTTTCCAGATCATTCTTTTTTCTCCCAAAAAACATGTCACTTACAACTTAATTATGATGCTCTAGATACAGTCTAGCCAGGAGAGAGCATAGTGGGAACATACCACAGGAACATGGACATAACTCATGAAAATCTTTCCCTTTTCTGTATTCAGGACCTTCTCTCATTCTCTCTCTCTCTCTCTCTCTCTCTCTCTCTCTCTCTCTCTCTCTCTCTCTCTCTCTCTCTCTCTCTCTCTCTCTCTCTCTCCCTCTCTCTCTCTCTCTCTTTCTCTCTCTCTTGTCTTAGAAGCTATTTCTTTCCTAGTGTAGTCTAACACTGTATTAACTTTTTTTTTTAGCAGCCATATCTCACTATTGACTTATACTGATTGCACTTTCAGGCTGCTAAACACACCCTTACTTCTATTTAATCACACATTTTCCATCTTATATATGTCAAGTTGATTTTTGGAACTCAAGTTTGAGTTTATATTTATCTGTATTAAATTTCACCTTCTGAGATTCAAGATCTTTTAAAATTCTAATTGCTGGCTAACATGTTAGCTATTTCTCCCAAATCTGTGTTATCTGAAAATGTGATAAGTAATCCTTTTAGTCAAGTCATAGATAAAGGTGTTAAATAGCATAGGTCCTTGGGGCATTCCAACAGAAAGGACTTTTCCTGCTCACAATGAACCATTCATAACTATTTTTGGAGATCTAGTTGTTCAGCAGGCACATAGGTGGCACAGTGGATAGATAGAGCACCAGGCCTAGAGTTGGGAGGACCTGAATTCAAATCCAGCCTCAGACACTTACTAGCCCTGTGATCCTGGGCAAGTCATTTAACCCTGCTTGCCTTAGTTTCCTCTTCTATCAAAATGAGCTGGAGAAGGAAATGGCAAACTACTCTGATATCTTTGCCAAGAAAACCCAAATGTCAGAGTTAGACATGACTGAAATGACTGAACAACAACAAAGTTGTTCAGCAAGTTCTGAATCTATCTAACTGAAATCAAGCTGACTGGCTTATAGTTTGGAGACTCCACTCCACTGCCTATTTTGAACCAAAACAGTATTTGTCCTTCTCCATGACTGGGCTCAGCAGTCATTTCTTCAAGTTTCTGAGTACCCTAGTGTGCATGTCTTTTGTATTATCTGGTGACTTGAACTCACCAAAGTAGGCAGGTATTCTACTCATATTGGATTTCAATTCCTTAATAACAATTTTTGTTCTTTTCCCTCCAGTCTAAGAACTATTCTCCTTGAAACAGAAAATGGAGACAAAATTGAGTAGAGACAAAAGTTAAGTAATTCTACCTTCTCTCTGTCACTTGATACAATGGCGCCAGTTACCCTGAACAGTGTCTCTATCTCTTGAGCCTCTACTTTTCCCCAATATAGCTAAAACCTCTCATATTTGTTGTTCTTCATGTTTATTCTGAGCTTTATCTTTCTTGTTACTATTCTTTCAGGGCTTTCTACTTCTAACTTTGAAGTTGCCAAGGACTAATATCTAGATAGACAGATGAAAATCTTCCACTAAATCTTACTCTGATGCCTCATCATGGCATGGAGATCATTCTGGATTCTTCAATGCTACATCAGCACAGCATAAACCAGTGGTGTCAAACTCAAATAGATACAGAGGACATTAATCTATATGTAAGGATCCCTGTGAGCCCTGTATTGGCTTAGTTTTAAAATGTAATGTGAATCTGTTTCATTTTATTTGTATTTATTTTGTCAAATATTTCCCAATTACCTTTTAATCTGGCTTGAGTATTTGACTCCTCTTGTGTAGGTTATAGAATTGTCCACCAAGGTGAAAGGGCTTAGAGCATTATCTCAGTGATGGATTGAACACATGCTTTACAATGACTACTCTAGCTAGGTCTGGACACACTTGATCTTACCCAAAAAGCGGAGAAGCAATTCTAGCTTGGTTTGGAAAAAGCTCATAACATAGCTGGCCATTGTGGGATGAAATTTTTTGGCAATTCTTGAAGACAGTCTACTAAGTTATAAGGGAATTATAATCTGCAAGAGTGGAAGAAGAATCCATGCTGACAAAGGCATAGATCCTAAAAGTACTGAAATAAGTATGGATGGAAATGTGCCTAGAAACTCTCTTGGGGAGAACACACAAGGACTCTAAAGGAAATTAAAGAAAACAATAACAACAACAAAAACTGAATATCCTTCAGTCACATAAAAGAAACCATTCAGTGTATGTAATTTTAACGACAAACACAATCTCTTTAAGCCTTAGTTTTCCAATCCGAATATGAAAGGGTCATATTAGATGGCCTCTGAAGTTCCACAGAGATCTACACTGATAATCTTATGAACATGTACTCTACAATCAATCATTTTTAAAAAATCAATTATAAGTGGTAGCTATTACTTTTAGAAAGTTTAGGGGCTAAGTCTAGAGAGTTCAATCTAGGATGTTGAGACTATACGCACATTTTATAAAGAAAATGCAATATACTTACATCTCGAATAAAATGCTCCAGAGTAGCATAAGCAATGGCAATTCCATCATGGGTGCTTGTCCCCCTTCCCAATTCATCCAAGATAACTAGGGATTGTGACGTTGCTTTTCTTATGATCTCTGCGGTGTCTGTCAGTTCTTCCATAAACGTACTCTGGCCCTTATATATATTATCTGCAGCTCCCATCCTACAAGTAAGACAAAGGTACTATTTTCCCATTGGACTTCACTTAAATTCAACAAACATTAAATAAGTGGCTGTATGTGTTTTTGTGTGTATGCACAGTTTCCTGTGCCAGAGGAGAGGGAGACAAAGTTTTATCCTCTACAGACCTAACATTTACACTGATGAATGCAAAATAAGATATAATGAGGATATTTAGAGGAAGTACAAAAGATTATTTTGTGAGGCCTGAGAATAAAAAGGTTGTTATTGACAGTGGAGAGGTTAAGGGAAGGATTAAAGCAGAAATAGGTGTTTAAGTCTGACTATAAAGGACAGACAGAAAAATGTTAAATTAAATATATATATATGTGTATATATATATATATACACACATATGTAAACTTTAAAAACAATGTTTACTTCTGTTCTGATTTTGTTTTCTTCATTGCTGTATCAGTCATGAAAATCTCCTCCCCACTTTTTGTATTCTTTATATCGTATTTATGGTACAATAATATTCCATAAGATTAGTGTATCACAATAGGAATTCAAAACCTGAAGAGGACAAACCACAAGTGAACAGCATGAATTGAGTGAATGAAGTGGGGAAAAGCAGACAATTAGGCTCCAGAAAGGATCTTAGATTGAGTGAAGCACATGACATGGGGAAGAGAATAGTAACAAAGTTGGTTCCAATATTATATAAACTCTTTGAAAAAATAGGAAAAGAAGGGTTCCTAACAAATTCCTTCTGTGATGCAAAGAAGGTCTTGATGCCTAAACCAGAGTCAAAACAGAAAGCTAGATTCTAGTAGTCTTAATGACTTAAAATTTTAAATGATATAAAAATTTTAAATAAAATATTAGCAAGGTGACCACAGCAACCTATCACAAAGATTATACACTGTAACCAGCCCAGTTCTATGCCAGGAATGCAGGACTGGCTCAATACTAGGAAAAATATCAACATAACAGACCATATTAATAGCAAGAACAACAAACATATGTAATTATATGATGATGCAGACAAGATACAGCACCCAATCCTGCTAAAAACACTACAAAACAAAGGAATAAAAGGAGTTTTCCTCAAGATGGTTAAGTAGCACCTATATAAAACCAAGAGACAGCTTTATATATAATGGCGATTAACTAAGAGTTTCCAATAGAAGAAGGAGTAAAGCAAAGATATTCATTATCTTTAATATCAACCACTACTGGGATATACTACTAGAAACATTAGCTATAGCAATAATATGAAAGAAACTGTAGGAACAACAGAAGAAAAGATGAAACAAAATTATCACCTTTGAATATAATTTGACAGTTTACTTAGAGAACTGTAGAGAAAAAGAATCGATTAAACATTAACTGAAACAATACTTCAACAAAGTTTCAGGATATAAAGTAAATCCACGTAAATCATCAGCATTTCTGCATATTACTTACAAAATCCAGCAGGAAGAGATAAAGAAATTACTTTTAAAATAATTAAAATACTTGTGAGCCTACCTGCTAAGACATACACACAGAAACCATATGAACACAACTACCAATCACTCTTTACAGAAATGAATACAGACCTAAATAACTACAGAAATATTAATTGCTTATAGGTAGGCCAAGCCAATACATAATAACAATTACAGTACTAATTTATTACTTATTCAATGCCATATCCATCAAACTCCAAAAGAATTATTTTATAGAGCTAGAAAAAAATAATAAAACTTATCTGGAGGAACAAAAGGTTAAGATTCTTAAAGGAAATAATGAAAAAAAAACAGGACGGAAGGGGACCTAGCAATACCAGATTTCAAACTATACTGCAAAGCAATAATCATCAAAATAATTTTGTATTGGATAAGAAATAGACATGTTTATCAGTGGAACAGATTATAATACCAGTAGTCTAGTGCTTGATAAACCTAAAGATCCTACCCACTGTGGTGAGAATTCACTGTTTGACAAAAATTGCTGTGAAAACTGAAAAGCAGTCTGTCATAAATCAGATTTAGATGAACACATCACACCATACACTAAGACAAGCTCCAAATGGATACATAACTTACACATGAATGAGTAAAAAGGAAATTACCTTTCAGATCTCTGGCTGGGAAATAGTTCATGATAAAAAACAAGGACAGATATGGTCACAGAAGATAAGACAGATAATTTTAATTACATAAAATTAGAAGTTTTTGTATAAAGTCAATTCAAATAAATTAGAAAAGAAATAGGAAATGGGGAAAAATATTTGCAGCACATTTCTCTGATAAGGACCTCATTTCTAAGATAAATAAGGAACTGATTCAAATTTAAAAGAATCTGAGCCATTCCCCAGCTGATGAATGGTCAAAGGATATAAACAAGCAATTCTGAAGAAATTAAAGCTTTTAAAAGACATATTTTTTTAAATGCTACAAAGTACTAAAAATTAGAGAAATCAAAAATAAGAAAACAACTCTGAGGTTCTACCTCATACCCATCAGATTAGTGAAGTTAGCAAAAAGGAAAATGATAAATGTTGGAAGAGCTGTGGGAAAATAGGGATATAAATGCATGACTGGGGGAGCTGTTACATTTTGGAAAGAAATTTGTAACTCTGCACCATGAGTTACTAAACTCTTAATATCCTTTGATGCAGCAATGCCACAACTAAGCTTATATTCTAAAGATATCAAAGAAAGAGAAAAGGACCCATGTGTATAAAAATATTAATACCAGCTCTTGCTTAGTGGTGGAAAAGAACTGGAAATGAAGGGGATGCTAATCACCTGGGAAATGGCAAACCAAACTATGATATATAATTATAATGGAATACTAACGTGCTATAAGGAATAGTCGTTTTAGAAAAACTTGGGACAACTTGTATAAACTGATGCCAAGTGAAGTGAGCAGAACCAAGAGAACAATTATTCAATAACAACAACAACACAGCAAAGACAAACAGCTTTGAAAGACTCAACTCTGATAAATGCAACAATCAACTACAATCCCCAAAGGAGCAATGATGAAGCATGCTATCTATCTCCTAACAAAGATGTGATGGACTCAGAATATAGAACGAGACACACATTTTTGAACATGATCAATGTGGAAATTTTTTTGCCAGACTATGCATATTTGTTAAAAGGATTTGGTTGTTCTTATTTCCCCCCCCCCACCCCATTCCCACTTGAGTTGTGACAAGGTGGGAGGGAGAGAAAATGGATTTCTGCCAATTGAAAAAAAAAATTTTAAGAGATAAAACTAGAAAGGTGGAGAGGGCCTTGAATGTCAGTTAAAGGTGGGTGAACTTTTAGTTAAGAGTCACTGAAGGTTTATCAATGGGGTACCAGGTGGGGTGGGGTCATAATTAGATCTGTGAAAAATGACTTTGGCAGAAGAAGGGAAAATGGAAAGATACTGAGTAGACTAGTGGTAATGAATGTCTGTATTAAGATGGTACCTAAGTAGAAATGATAGGTGTGAGAAACTTTGTGTAGTAAGAACTAGTAAGACTTAAGAGGTGACAGAATAGGAAGAATTAAAAGACCACAGTCTTCAACATGGGAGATAAAGTGATCAGTGCTGCTACTGATGGAAGAATGAATAATTTCAGAGGGTTTTGGGTCATGTTGAGTCTGAATTGCTAGTTGCACATATCCAATTGGGCAGATAGATGGTGCAATGGATAGAGAGCTGGGTCTGGAGTCAGGAAGGCCTAAGTTCAAATCCAGCTGCAGACACTTACTAACTGTGTGACCCTGGGCAAGTCACTCAACTCTATTGGCCTCAGTTTCCTCATCTGTAAAATGAGCTGGAGAAGGAAATGACAAACCACTATACTGTATCTTTGTCAAGAAAACCCCAAATAGGGGCAGCTAGGTGGCTCAGTGGAAAAAGAACAAGTCCTGAAGTCAGGAGGACCTGAGTTCAAATCCAGCCACAGACACATAACACTCACTAGCTGTGTGACTCTGGGCAAGTCACTTAACCCCAATTGCCTCACCAAAAAACAAAACAAAACAAAAACAAAAAACAAACAACAACAACAAAAAACCCAAATGGGATCACAAAGAGTTGGACACAACTGAAACAACTGAACAACTACATATCCTACAGGTAGCTAGATATGCAGTTCTGGATCTCAGAAGAGAACTAAGAGTTTATACGAATTTCTTTTCCTCATGTGAAAACTAAGTACCCCTTTCTGGAGAACTCCTTTAATATTTCAATGGATCTATGGTTGAATTCATTTAGGTCCTCCTACCACTGACAGAATGTAACTCCTCTACACCTTAACAGCACGAGTTGACATTGCTGAAAAATCATTCTGCAGCTGACCTGGTGATAAATCTTTCTGAACTTAGCTAGAGTGATTCTTAGGTGACAGACATAAAGTCTATCACCAGAACCATTATGTGTTTTCAGAGAACACAATGAAATGTTAGTAGCAGGGAAAATAATTTCTCCCAAAGTCCTATAAGTATTGAGCTATTAATAAGAAATTAGTTTAATTAATAAGTAAATAAACTGTGTGCTCAATATCAAGGTGGTTGTACATTGAAAGTGTATCTTCTGGGAACATGCCGGACCAAATCTAAAGCTTAAAGGAGGTCTCCATCTTCATCCCTTCAGCATGGCATATAGGAATGCCCTTCCACTCCAATGTGGGCAACATAATACTTCACGGTGGTTTTATGTTTAAAAAGCACGTGCACTAGGTTAGGGGGTTTCTCAAGCATTTTCCTCCATGTGTCACTAACTCAAAGCTATGAGATGCATTGCCCCAAAAAACTACAAGGCTATCAAGAGGATAATACATACTTGTTGAATGAATGATTCTTCATCATTCCCACAGCTCAGAAGCTTCCCCCATCTCACATTGTGTTCAAAGTCTTGATTCCTCTGTGAGGTTTATGTGCTTTATCTTTTCACCTGTGGCTGTTCTCCTCCTCGGTAAAATGAGGAGAGGTTGGACAAGATGAGATATCTCTGAAGTCCTCTGGCTCTAGATTCTGTAACCCCAAGAGTTGT